TAAGCTTGGAGAGAGCAACAAACAATGGAGACTTTGAACAAATGAGGATTGGAGAATGTATGTAAGTTGTGTATTTTAAAATGTGGGGAAGATGAGTTTATATAAAGGAGAAAAGTGGCAAAATGTAGGATTGAATATTGACCATTGGATTGTGTTAGGAATAATGGAAGGTGGAGATTAAAAGTAAATAAATAAGAAAATTTTCTAAATTCATTTATTTCAAAATTTTAATATAATAGTAATATAATATAATAATAATAAAAAGTTATGTGAGTAACGGTCAAATGAAATTCAAAATTTATTATAAATATAATAATATAATAATAATAAAAACTATGTGAGTAACCACCAAAATTTTAAAATATAATAATATAATAATATAATATAGTAATAATACAAATCAATGTGAGTAACGGTTAGATTCAAATTTATATTTTGTAAAAATAACTTTATTTAAAAATATAATAATAAGAAAAACTCCACCATTTGTTACTCTCCCAAAATTATAAATGTCATACTTTGATATATTTTGATTTGTCCATCATTTTGATTTTGCTGCCACGTCATCACGCCGGGTATGTTGTCTCAACTGTAATTTCTTCGTTTTAGCTCTGATTTGAGTAATTGAAAAGTCATTGAAATCGTTATTCCCGACCTTATACTGTGGACAGTTCAAAATACTGAAAATAGTTAATAATTAAAAAGTAGGTTTGTTATCATCAAAACATCAATTAATTGATTGAAATTAATTAAAGTGAGATCAAGGCCAAAAAGCCAACAAATGGATATTTCTGATCCTTGCCAAGACAGGATCGAATAATTCCACAGGCTTGCCGATTTAATTTCGTCCATTCTGCTTCTGCCATGTCTTTAAGCATCTCCTCTTGGAGAGAAACATCGAGGTCTTGCATGACTAGCAAATCGCTAACTTCGCCTAGCCAAACACCAAAATTATTGGTTCCATCAAATTTCTCTACCTCGAGATTGGAACTCCACACTCTCGATCCACGTCGTGATGGTTCTGCCATTTGCAATAATTAATCTGGATGTAACTCAAAAACACAATTCTTGAAAATTGATTTTCAAGAGAATAAACACGATTGTGAGCACGTCTAATGGTCAATGAGGCCCAAACTTTCACAATACCCCCAAATACCACAATAAGGCTCTGATACCACTCGTTGTGCGCCGAAAGCGGAACAAATGTACTCACAACACCAAAGTTACTCAAAACATACAATATGACACTCAAAACTTGATGATTTCAACCGTAGAAAGAATGGCATTATATAGCCCTCTGCTAAACCTAAAGATAAACTAACAAGCCTAAAAAGACCTTGAGAATAGGTCTTGGTCCTAGAGAATAGGGCTTATGACAGTGTTCAACACATATGACCAGAGAACGAGCAAAATTAAAGGAGCTTAATGAGAAGTTCACTGGAAACGTGAAGTATTGCGACTGAACAATTTTATCGATTCAAGGCAAAGGATCCATTTTGTTCTATTGTACAACGACGACCAACATCTATTGACCAAGGTATATTACATTTCGAGTTTGAAGAGCAATATTATTAGAGCCTTGATCGAATGACAGAAGAAGGTGGCAGAGTGGAGTTAGTTGGCACATTTTTTAAGATATTCGACAGAAATGAAGCCCTATTGATTAAGGTAAAAAGGTCAAAGAACCGCCTATATATGATACTATTGAAAGACCATCAAAATCTTCCAAAGATATCCATTGACGTTGAAAGCTATATATGATAGATAAACCTCCTAAACTATGTCATGAAAGCTATATATATGAACATAAACCTCCTCATACTATGTCATGAAAGCTATGCTATGTATTACAAAATGTACGAGAATTATGTAAGCAGAAATCACAAACTTATTATAATTATAGACAAATGGAGGTGTATCATCGTACATTATGTCATGATTATAAGCTATGAGGATCTTAAGCATATTTGTGTAACACATGCTTCTGAATACTTTCACACTATGATGACGACGAACATATACATTATGACTTATGGTTTACCACATTATGTACACCATGATATTATGGGGGTCCTTTCCCTTCGTGGTGCTCGACACAAAGCCCGTTAGGATTGCTAGCCCGATGAGGCTGCCCCACGTGTGTGTGAACCTGTCTGGTGCACCAATACTCATATGTGTGGGTCATGTGTAGAGAAGTACTAAAAATTCGACCTTGCCCAAACTGGGAAGCTGCCTAAGACCATGCTATGCTATGTTAAAAGAATAGGTCACACTATGTTCCATGTGTTTGCTACTCTTACTTAGTATTTCTTAAAATACTCAAGCCATGTGCTACTCTTACATTTTAGGTAAAGGTAAACCACCCTTCTACGATGACGGCAGCGTCGTGATGAAGGCCATGGAACCAGTTATTAGGGTAGTTGCAGTTATGTTTATTTTGTAACATTTAAGTTAGATAAGAACATTGGGTTATTCTTCTCTTTGGTTTATTTAATTTTGTTGTTTTTGTTTTAAATTTTTACATCTTGAAACCGTTTAAGTCCATGCTATCATTCATGAACTATTTTAATTGAAGTATTCTGGACTCTACAGTAATTTCATGTGTTATGATCCTACTTTTTCCAACCGCACAACGTCGTGACCTTGACACGCTCACGACCAGTCTTAAGGGAAATCAAGTCCTATATATATTTTTTGCCTCAGCTTTGTGGCTTCATCAGACCTTATACGAGATTTGTCTCACCAATCGAACATCGCTTATGCAGAATCCAAGCTTGTTTGATCACACACGCTTCCTACGCATGCATGCTCAATCGTCTGCGACACAACTAACTTGCATCTACACTAGGCCAAATCATTCGGCTCGACCTTGCCTCTACTCGGGGCCAAGGTCTCTCAATGGAACATCACGTCTCATCTTGTCATCTTGATTCCCATCGACATGGCCCATATGTCTTGACGTCATCCTAAGTCTCAAGATGTCGTTGCTCATCACACCTCACTTGGTCATGCCATCGAAACGGGCTCACATGTCGCTCATCTCATTGAGACATCTCGAACATCCATCCATCCGAGTTCTATCGAGGTATTGGCCGTCCCGTGCCCATGCCATGTCATTTACGGATACCGTCTCGGATAGCAGGTGCATATATCAACCTCCGACACGCGGGTTGGGGCGCAATACTGGCACACCCGTGCCACTTGGTACTGTCCTTGAAAAAATTCATTTTAAAGGAAAGTCGCCCAAGAAAATCGTTTCGGCACACTCGACCTCGCTATGACACACGTATGTGCCACAGGGTAGCTCACTTAGGCCACAGATCAGGGGTGGTGGAGAGCTGACACCATAACTCCCCCTATAGTACATTTTGAGAAATTTTCAATCTTTCACGCATAAACATGATTTTGGCAAACGGTCATATAATGCATGGAGTGTCTGTCCGGTGTCCGATTTACACAAAATTTGGCGAGCGTTCATATTTCATATGGACAGACTTAACTCCAGAACCGCATGCCCAAATTCCTTTTGGAACCTCAACTTTTGAGGTTAAGGCCCGGACCCTATCTTACCCGGACCCTATCTGGCCCTTCAACAAGCCTATCTTTGCCACTCTTGTCTATTCAATGTCTCTATCTTGCTTATGCCTCGATTTGTCTTCAATGCTCACTCTGTGTGGTGTGTTAGATAATGCACCGTCCTCCACGATCGCATCATGGCACTCGTCTAGGCCCTCGTGTGGCCAAATACGCGCCACTTGAGGGTCGTCGCTTCTTCTGTCACAACTTGAGGATCCCAACCAACTCTCTTCATAGTTAGATTGTTGCACCATGCATGTAGTAGCTCCTTTATCTGAGTAGAAAAATAGAGTTGTTACAATGCACTCTTCTTTTTAGTAACTCAATTATAGGAACTTCATGGTAAAACTTGTTTTTCTTGAAGAAAATCTATATTGGTTGACTTTCTACAAAGTTTCCTAGGATGCATGTGAGTAACGACAAAATATGCTGAAAGCACTCGTGTTGGTTTGTAGAGACAATTTTCACTCTTAGAAGTAAAAAGTAAGTAACGTGACCATATCATACATGATGCAGTAACATGACCAACACTCATTCAAATATATAATTAGTGAATCAATACTTTATCAAAACTTATTCCAACTTCACATAAATTATTCTTTTGGTACTATTTGGAATATTCTTAACTAAGCGATTTCACTCTTCTTAATTTCACCTCTAAGTTCATCTTGGACTCTTGTAAGAGCTATAGAGAAAATGTAACGATAAGGGTTTCAAAAAGGCAAAAATAAAAATAAAAAAAATTAAAAATAAAAATAAATAAATAAATAAAAAAGGAGAACGCGCCTTAGATCTCGCCGGAATTCGCGAGATTTCCGGTGAGACATGCCTTGCCAACAAGGGCGTATTAATTCCATGAATCCCCATGTTAAACCCTAGCTACCTTAGTAGTCTTTTCTTTTTGAGCCACTGTCGTACCTGTGAGGGAGGAGACGAAAGATTTAGATGAGGAATCGAAAACGTCTTGAGACTTCAGACTTCTGTGAGTCCTTAGATAGGAGCAACCTGGTGTCAGGGTACGTCGGGCAAGGAGGGACAGACGTGCCACCAGAGACAGACGAACGGATGACGACCATTCCACCGGCGGCAGTAGTCGAGTTCCTTGATTAGGGTTGTTGAGGCTTTTGGGCGAGGAAGACGAAGCGGCGGCCGCGAGTTGCCCCTTTGGCATTCTGCGAGTTCGTCTCGATCAGCATACCGGCCGCACCTCGCGGGCCGCGCTCAGACACCACCATAGGGCCTCGTTCCCTTTCGGCCCAACCCAGAGACACATCCAGGAACCCTGCGTCGTCAGTGTCCTTCGCAGCCCATCGGTTTCAGCGTTGTCAGCGGCTTCGTTGCACTCTCGACTCGGCAAGGTCGGCATGGCGGCGCGGCTTAGCGGCTCGACATATGTATAATATATTGATTCCTAGGTTTCCGACCCTTCTGGAGCCATTCCCACCCTTGTTTCAACCATATGAGGTTAGTATAACTCCATTTTGATAGAACAGTTTGTGACAGGGACATACCTTAGTAGCTAGGCATAAGAGCTAGTTGTGAAAAGACTCTAAGTATATCATGTTGTCTTATAGGCATCGGGGTTAGCGTGGTGAGTGACTTCGGCCAAGGCCGAGGTAAGTAACCTTACTGTTGGCGTTAGTTATGTATATATGTTGGTGCATGCCCTGTGGCCCTTGCATGCACCATGTGTGTTGTTGATGTATGCTAGGTTATATGTTTCTTGCAGTGAAATGCTATGTATGTCATGTTTATGTATGTGATGTTTGTGACACGGTTTGCTACCCTATATGTATGAGCTTGATTGACATGTTATGATTGTAATGAGAACCCCGCATGCCATGAATGTGATGACTAGTATGATACGATATGCTTACTAGATGTTTAACCCAGTTATGCTATGTAATGCGGTGAGGGGATGGAACGTTGTATGTATAATTCCATGGAGGTAAACCTTAAGGACCTTTATGCACGCTATGGTTATGTACATGGGGCAATCCCCCGCTAAGCTACTGATGGTATGGACGCGTACATTCGATATTGTGTTTGCCACGATATCATGCAGGCCCTCCTTTTCCGTGGCATCCGGTATTGTATATCATACATACCCGACCAAGCCAATCCTAGGGAGTTCACATGCGAACTCACCTGGTAGGCCCACAGTCACGCACGTGGGCCATGTGTGGGAAAGTACCATGCATCCACCCCCACCCGGACAAGGCAAGAGCCTAAGGCCATGGGAAGGAATGGAAGACAGACCCCTCTCTCAGTTTCTTTCTTTTGACACTTGTGCTCATGTATGTGTATTGTGTGCGACCGCATATATCCTTATGTATGATTATATGCTTAACCTCAACAGTGGGATGACTTACTGGGTATTTTATATAATACTCAAGCCACGTGCTACCCGTATTTTCAGGTAAGGGCAAGGCTCCCATGTAGGCTGACGGTGGATGTTGCGAAGGCCATGAAAATCTTAAGGAAGGTTTGTAGTGTCGTATGGGTCTTGTTGGATTCTTTTGGTTTCATAGTTATTGCAATTATTCATTCTGGTTAGCTGTTGATTACTTCTAGGTTAGGCTGTTGTCATTGTTTTTCCTCCAAGTATGAACTACTTATAATAATAGACGTATTGTCATTTTTGAGGCTGTCTTACATAAACCATCGTACTTTCGTTATATAAATACAAGGTAACGTCACTAATTAGGATAGAGAAAATTAGGGGCATTACAGAGTCCATATCTAAACTTAACATATCAAATAGATTATGAAAGAACATGAAAAGTAACACATAATTGGTGGCTTGATTAAACCATTTGTAAAAGAAATGCGTACGTAATGAACACTATTCTTTCACTTCCTCGTAGAACAAAGAAGAGAAAACATTCATGACATCTTTAGGCAAAATAACTCCAACTTCCACTCCTCCATTCCCACTTCTACTCTCCGTCATCGAAAAACTTCCATTCGGGTTTATCGAAACCATCTCCACTTTCTTACTATTTCCCCACCCGAAGTCAATCTCATAAACTCCAAACCTTGGCGATCCTCCCGCTACAATCATTTTAGATATGGGCATCTCCCTCCCCCATCGACCTAAAATCTCTTCCACCATTTCCACTACTTTATTCTCCTTCACACTTTTCTCCATCTCCATTATTCTATCACTAATCTTGTTTGCAACCATTGCCATCCCATTTTCTTCCTCCAATTCCTTCGCTTCCAAAAACTCTCCCAACCCAATTACACCGTTACCAAAATAATTGAGTCCCCCTAGAGCTCCCATACGAGGCCGCATATCCACAGCGAAGAACAAAGCAATCTTACTTTTCGGTTCAATTCGCTCCGCTTTGACGATGCACGTTGAGATAAGGGCGTATGTCAATACAAAAGTTGTAAGATGACGAGTGGATGTAGAATTTGTTGCTACTTTTCTCCTTAACTTCTCTATGTCAATGCGTGTAAGCTCAAACGTGGCATGCACCACATCGTCTGAGATGACCCTTTTTGGGGTAAGTACAAGTATTTTGGGTTGACGAACAAACGCTCCATAATGCTTAACGTATAATCTTTCCAACCCATTTGGATCCTTTGCGGCTGTTCGGTCAAAAAATGGTGTCAACTCCGGGGGCAGCGTGGGGAGATTATTATTAGTACAATTGAGTGTACTACAAATGGAAGCCCATGATTTCAAGAACATGGTGGATGTTTTCCCATCAACAACCACATGGCTGGTTATGATGCCAATGGAAAACCCACTTTTGGGGAATAAAGTGATTTGAAGAGACATGGGTGGAGCAATGGTGTCGGATGTTGGGAGTTGGGGTACGAGGAAATGAGATTCCTTTGCCTTCCGAACATGATTTGACAAGAGATGGTCGAAATCAGCATCTGTTTTAGCAATAGTGAGGGAAACAGAGTCGCCAGGGTTGTAAAGAATAAAGGGGTCTTGAGAGTGATGGGGCCAAACGAGGTTGCCAGCGAGAGGGAGGAAATGGGAGAGTGTGAGAGAGAGAGAGTGTTTGAGGGTTTGGAGAATTGAATCGAAGCGAAGCAGGTCATTGGCGGGCAAGGAGTAAAAGAGAATGCGCTCGGTGGGTGGGGATATAAATTGCACAAGATCGGAGAAAGTGAGCGGGAGAGAGAAGTGAGTGGGCGGGGAAGTAGAGGGAGTGATATTGCAAACCTCCAAAACCTCCATTATTGCCTTTGGTTGCTCAATTTTGGGTTAAACAAGGTTGATATGAGGTTGCCTTTTGTACCCAAACTTTCTTAATTTTTCTTTTTCCTTCGTAGTTAGAAAGTGATCATCAAACAAATCACGTTGTTCCCTCACTTACTCAACCGAGATTTATAGTTTTTTAATCTTACAAAGTGTGAAACATGTGATCCTCTAGAATGGTGCCATCAAAAAAAGAAAAGAAGTAATTCAAATAAAGGCTATGTGGGCCTCGTATAGAGTGGAAGTATTCTAATTATTCTAATTTCTTTAATTGTAATTATTGAATTAGGTAGCTCTCTATGATTGTTGATGTAATTGGATCTTTGATGTGTTCGGATTTTGGTGAATGAGTAGAGTTCTTTCTTACTTCCATTTGTAATGAGAGAAAGAAAAAGAGTAATGGATGAGATTGGATTCATTAGACTTGGTCATTTTTGTCCGAGTAAAGAAGTCAAGATCAAATAAATAAAAAAGGGCTAGCCCGTAAAGACCTTGATCCACGTGAATTACTTGTGGAGAACCTCCATAACGACCCACTATTTTGGATTCTCGAGTCATTGATCGCTACTACTACTAGAGAGACTTTGATGAATTAATGAATTACAACCTAAAACAAAAAGAGTTAATACGAGAGACTTTGATGAAACATTCAACAAAAAAGATACCCATAAAGCAAAAGATGTACATGTTATATATTAGGAATTAGGAGTTATAGTCGAGACCCAAATCTATCGACTCCTATAGTCCCATAGTTTGGTTTTGCATCCATCAGGACTCTTCAGCTTAATTGTCACAATAGATTTTTGAGGCATCGAATTTCGGACCATGATTTAAAAGATAAGACAATAGTAAATAAATGAAAGCAAAAATATAGTAAAATTTCGTGCAGTTAAAGTCATACAGCACCATAGTCAAAATCCAAAATAAAAGTAATAAAAAAAAAACAACTGTTGTTCAGGTTGAGCCTATTTCATAAAGATTTGATGCGATAGTGAGAATGTTCGATTAATCCACCACACCTAAATGATGTGAAAATTATCTTATTTATAATCAAATAAATTACAAAGATACGGAAAGAGTAATAAATGGAAATAACAATAAATAGAAAAATATCTATGGTAAGAAGATATTTGCCTATAATAAAATATCAAATATGATATATATGGTAAACTATAATTTAGTACTAAATATCCTTAGCACCCCACCGCAAGCTGACCGTCGAATTTGAACGAACGTGAAGCTTGGATCTGAAAAATTCAGAGATCGGTTGAGAAACACTTTTCATGAAGATGTCAATAACCTAGTTCGGAAGAGGCATAGAGAAACATTTTCTTGACCTTCGAAAACTACTTTGGGATTGTCGCTTAGCGGCAATGTTGCCATGGCTTCGGCGAGAATATGTCTAACCCATGAAGAGGGATCATCGCTTACTGACGATGCTGCCTAGGCTCTAGTGAGAATATGTCAACCCAAGAAGTAGAAGGGGAAACCTAGAGCAAGGGACAAAGACAATGTTGAAGAGGGAATTGTCACCACAGTGGGCAAAGAAGTCAATTTTGGCTCGAATAGCGGCGGCGACTTGGTTGGCGAAGAGGCCAGTGCGGCGCCCAGATTCCAAAGGTAAATCTCTGCATGATAGGTTTAGGTTAGGGTTTCTGTGAAGGATGAAGGGAAGATTGGGAAGAAAATGAAAGAGACTATGTTGGTTGAGGGAAAATCGTTTGTGTTGGAAAAGGTGATATTGTATGTACAAAGTATGGCGATGGGTGATTTGGAGGTCAAAAGGGTGGAGCTGAAGAGTAATCAATTGGCTCCGCATGTGGCAGTCATGGAGACTGCCCCTGCGGCGTCAAAGCCAGCAAGGGTGGTGGAAAAGAAGATGAGTAGGGGATTTAGAAGCCATTGAAAATAAGGGATCCGGGTTATTAAATCGAAAGGGCTCTGATACCATGAGAATGTTTGATTAATCCACCACACCTGAAAGTTATTTTATTTATAATCAAATAAATTACTAGGATATGGAAAGAGTAATAAATGGAAATAATAATAAATGGAAGATACCAATGGTAAGAAGGTAAATATTTAGATATTTGCCTATAATAA